GATGCCCGTTGAGCTCAAGTTGTGTTATTAATAAATCGGCTATTGATTGATTAGGCTGCAGATTGTAATTTTTCAAAAGCTGCATCTTTTACAGTCACTGTAAATAAACCTCTACTGAGTAATCCTGCTCTTGATCCAGGTGTCCAACCTCCCCATTATTTCTCAAATCAAGTATGTGACGCTCAGAAATGTTTTGAAGAGTTTCAGTCAGGATTTCGAAGCGTCATCGTACAGAAACAGCACTGGTGAAAGTGTCCAATGAGCTCCTCATAGCCTCAGATAATGAACCCGTCTGGATCTTAGTGCTGCATTTGACAAAGCTGATCACAGCATCTTATTACAGAGGCTGGAACATGTCAGTGGGATTAAAAGAACAGCACTGAACTGGTTTAAATCATATTTATCGGACAGTTTGTTCATCTAAATGATGATTCTTCCACTCACACTAGAGTCAGTTAAGGAGTTCCACAGGGCTCTGTGTTAGGACCAATAATATTTACTTTGTACATGCTTCCCTTAGGACTTAGGAATCACAGCATACATTCCCATTGTCATGGAGCTGACATCCAGTCATATTTATCTATTAAGCCAAATCAAACTCCAGGCATTTCTAAAGAACACAAAGGCCTGGATGACCTGTACATTTTCTTCTCCTAAATTCTGACAAAACTGAATATATTTGGCCCGAAACGCCTCAGAAACGCACTGTCTAACCAGATGGTTCCTCTGGATGGCACTGCCTTGGCCTAGGAGTTATTTTTAACCAGGATATGTCCTTTAATACAGCAGCATGGCGTCCTTTCACCTGCGTAATATTGTTAAAAGCAGGAACATCCCATCTCAGAGTGATGCTGGAAAACTAGCCCATGCATTTGTAACCTCTCTGCTAGACTATTCCAACTCCTTGACATCAGGATGTCCAAGTAACTCTCCTGAAACAACGCCTGCTGCAGCCACAGTTCATATTTATCTCATGTCAGCTTCTACGATATCATTTAAATTCCTGCTGCTCACATATGAAACTTTTAATGACCAAACTCCATCTTATCTTAGTTATCGTACCGTATCATCCTAACAGAGCCCTTCGCTCTCAGACTGTTGGTATACTTTTGGTTCCCAGAGTTTCCAGAAGTAGAATACAAGGTAAACCCTTCAGTTATCAGGTTTCCTTGATGTGGAATCAGCTCCCACGCTTTCTACCTTGACAAAGTTTGACCCCAAACCATCCCTGAGTTGTTTTTACAGGCCTAAATGGCACAAGGACTTCCCATGATGCCCTGAGCTCCTCTCCTTACATGTAGATGCCGCCAGTGTATGTCACTAACTTCACGAGTCGAGTGCTGCTCAATCGTGCCCTGAGGCGACTTTTTCTGTTAACTGGCGCGCTATAAATAAAACTGAAACCGTGCTCATACCTGTGATGCAAACAGAGAGTTGAGGTATTCGTCTGCAGAGCGTTTGTTCCTCCTCGGACCGGTTGGCGTTGGGTATGAGGTTTGTTTCTGGGAGCTGGAGAAGGTCGGAGGTCTGCTGGGAGTCTGCTGGTCACCTCGTCCATCTTTAGCTTTCTGAGGCGTGGTGGTCGGCGTGGCGGTTGGCGTGACAGTCGGGGTGGGAGTCAAGGCGGCGTTTTGAGCGGTGGAAGGTGTTGCATTCTCCCAAAAGTCGTCCACCTGAGACGACATCCGCCGACCCTCTCTGTCCGACCACCCCATCTGGCTCGTAGCCGAAGACCAGCCGGACAAATCGGAGAGGTCGTCCAGCGCCGACTGGTAGCTGACGGATGAGGTGAAGCTCCCGGTGAGCTTCAACCGACCGCCGGCGGCTCTTTTCGCCTCCTTTTCCTTCCTCCTCTTCCTCCTCAGAGCCTGCATCTTCTCCTCCCGGTTCATCCCCAGCTCCTCCTTCCACCAGGACCTCCACGCCTCCTCGCCCTGCCAGGACACCGTCAGCCGGCGACTGAGTCGATCCGTCCAGGCCTCTTCGTCCACCTGGTTGGGCAGTGGTACCACATCTGGAGCTCTGAGGGGGGCCGAGGCGACGCCGTCAACCAGCAGCGAGCGTCTGGACATGCACGACTTCAGATCTTCCCTCAAGCTTTGCACGTGCTCCTTCTCTGAAGCCTGTCTGTTGGACAGTTGCAGCAAACCTTCAGTTTGGACTTGGAAGTGCTGCGAGTGTGACTTCCTGTCACAGCTTACGTGCATTAGTTTCTGCAGCCAGTGTTTCCACGTGACCAGACTGCTGCTGCTGAGCTTCACTGGACTCCGTCGCCGAGGAGGAACAGCTCGACTCGAGCCATTTACGGTTCCCTCCACGCGGTTGGGTTCCTCGGCATCTTCGGCTACATCTTCGGCCACATTTCCACTTTCTTTCACACTTGCTTCCAGATCACTCCCTCGGTCCAGCTCTGGCTCATTGTTGACGACGACCTGCAGAGCCAAACGCTTCAGGTATCGGCTTTTGGACTCCAACTCTGAATCCTCAGAGTCCATGCTCAGCATCGGGCTTCTCTCTGGTGTTTCAGGAACAACCCTCTGCACGCACTGAGTCGGCCCGATCACATCCTCATCGCTCGACGTGTCTGCTACGACCAGCTCTGGTGGAAGCTGCTCTGCTGAAGCTGCTTGCTGATGCTGGGGTTCGTCCTCGGCTGCTGGAGGTCGAGACGTTTCGGCGTCCGGCTGCTCGGGCTCCAGGATCTGATAGAAGATATCTCCTGCTGCCGTCAGCTGTAGGACGCACAGACACTCGTCTCCACCGGATTTCTTCTGGATACACGTGAGACCTGATAGCAAACAAAAAAAAGTTAGCAGTTAGACGCTGCATCTTAATGTTTTAGCCTCTGTAGTTACACTTCTATAAGTCAACACGCTTGAGTCTTTACAGAGGACTTAAAGGAAGAACCAGCAAGCAGCAGTTCACTTGTCAAACTTGTGCTAAAAAAAAATAAAAAATAAAAATTAAAACAAAACCTGACATACAAATAGAACCAGGTTATGTCTCATTGTTTAGCTCTTCTGTTGGTTCGTTTCCTATTCTGGTTGACTCTCGCTGCCCTCAGGATCTAGTATCAGGTACAATCGGTTGCCGTTCTCAGTGAAAAAGCTCAAAAACATCACTGCAGAGCCGAGCTGATGAACCATATACGTCCTTCACAAGCTGCTTGAGACCAAACCCAGAGCCAAAGGAGAGAAAATGCTGGACCATATGAGCTCAAATCAACAATAATGTTGCTCTTTAGCTGCTTTTTGCTGACAAATTTGTCTTAAAGTTAGAAGATGGTGCGTCAATACTGTGGACACAACTTGTATCTGCTGCCCCCAAGTGGCCATTTTTTTTTCTTGTTGTTGTTTTTGGTTAAAAAAAATTTTTTTTTTTGCTATTTTTCAGTCCATCGAGTAACCAACGCATCAATAACATCTTTGGATAGTTAATTAAGCAGAAAACACCTTAATCTCAGTTCTTTAGTGACCAAATCTGAAAAGTAGTCTGACAAAGAATTAAATTTTAATATTTGCCAGCTGTGAGGCTTTTTTCAATCACTTCATGAAACGCTGAGTCAGATTTCGAGGTGAAATGAACAAAAAACCTGTGACATCCTGAACTGTTGGCTAAAGAACTCGTCGTGTTTTATTTTGGAGAAACAAACAAACTTTTCTCTGCACACGTTGTCCCACTGAATCACTGTCTACATTAAAGAATCCACAGTAATGACATTACTGCGTGTAACTACTGGTGTAATCTTTGGTGTAAGATTTATAGTCGTTATTGTCACACTTATGGTCCATACCGGTATATAGTGACACCTCTCATCTAGAACAAACAGTGGCTTCACTCGTCCTTCCTTACCTGCGGCAGGTGAGGACAGTCTGTTGGTGGCGGTATCCAGGCGATGAGGGATCTGGACCGGGAGGTGTTTCAGACTCTCTCTGGGTCTGAGCAGAGCCTGAGGAGGACCTCGACTGGAACAAGCCTCGGCTCTGCCTCCTGAACAAACAGAGTTTTAATGAATGCTCTTCACGTGTCCTCCCGAGTCGCTGTCGCCACCCTGCTGACTGACCTGAGTACTGCAGCATTGTGATTTCCTGGGAGAAGTGGGATCCGAGCAGAACCTTGGTGGTTCTTTCTTCGCCCGAGCCGGAGGGGGAAGAGCCGGGAACGACGTGACAAGACATCGGCGGGGACTCCATCATGTGATCCCATTTGAGCATCGGCACGCCGGGGAAACGCTCGTCCATGATGTAGGCCGAGTACTGACGGACAGAGAAAGAAGAGGAGGCTCAGTCCGGTTAAAGAGAACCCAGCAGGATGAATCAGATAAACATGTTTAAATCGAGGACATTCTGTCTCCTGCAGTTCGTCAGCTTCCGCATGCTGTTGGCTTCGTGTTAAGGCAACAATCTTACAAACTGTAAATGCACAAGTACCTCTAAAAAAGTCCTTACACATCATAGGTACCAATCTACTACTATAAGCTGATGTGTTTTGGGTTCCATCTCAAATTATGAGAACAAATTCTGCTCAACAATCTCTGATTCGCCTGAAATTTTTAGAGCATAAAATGTGGATATTTATAAAGATGTTTATGAAATTTTAGCTTCATATATCAAACGCTTTCCGAAACACACACTGTTTAAATAATCGGCCGTCGACCCACTTTCTGCAGGTTTTTCCTGAAATTTGTGGCTGTTTGAGCAACAACATCTGTGGAACTATTGAAGATAAAAACCTGAAATGTTCTCTGTTATTTCTCATCATGTCATTGACTCATAATCTGTAAAATTGGACAGTAAATCAAATAATATCCGCTTATGGGGAAGCTGGTATATGAGAGAAAATTGAAGCCCGTCATAAAAAACAAATATATATTGCAGAAATCAATTTGCAGTATTTTCTGAACTATTTGTAGCTGCAGGTCACAATGATACAAAACTAAGCATCTAGAATACTTATTAATATGAAAAATTGGGTCACAAAACTTCACAGAAAGTCATAACTGATAAGTTGCACAACAAAAACCAAAGTATTGCCAGACAGTATAATCTAAGCAGACCAGGTTCAAAATGATTCTCCGAATAAAACTAAAAAATATTTAATGATTTAAAAAAAAAAACTAAAAATTTAAATGTGTGAAAAAATGTGAGTAGTTGGTAATTATTTTAAAAAAAAAATCATATGTCAAGCTCACAATTTCACTAATATCTTATTAAATATTCAGACTTTATGCGCCAAACATCCCGACAGGCACCTGTGACACTCCTGACATCTGGTGGTGAGATGAAGGTACTTCACTGAAAACCTGAACCGTGGGTTTGGACTCAGTGTGGAGAAGCTTCAGGTCATACCTGCGTGGTGACGAGGTGATGGAAGCTGTGAGCGTCTCCCAGATACCTGGACAAGACGAGTCGCTCTCCGCTCCGACACTCGGCGGCGCTGCTGATCCGAAACAGGGTGTGGCTGGAGGCTGGATTCGTCTACGGAGAGAGAGGAGGAGGAGGAAGGAGAGGACGGTACAGGAGAGTAGAAGGTCAGAGGTGAGAAGGAGGCGATGGGAAGGAGGCTAAAGGGGAGGGAGGAGAGGTAGGAACACAGACGGTGGGAGGATTTTACAGTTAGTTGGTGGGAGTGTTTAGCGGTTCCACTCTGATTTCAGGCTTCATGCTAAACTAACGATTCCTCAGCTGCAGAGTAATTATAAACAAACAGATGCAGGAGGTTTCATTGCATTTTTTTTATCTGATACGCGTTGAGATATTTCAGTTTGGACCAAAGTGGGACAAATACAGAAACAATCTAAGTTAGAACTTTTCTAAAAGTGAAATCAGCGCATTTTAAGACTTGGACGACATTCTCAAGTCGCCACTGCTGCACACAATTTAATAAAAGGAGCGACACGAGCTGTGCAAGGCCGGTTCATCATGTCAGATTGTACGATGGATCTGTGGTAGCTAAATCAAAAACAATTCTGTGCTGCTTTATTAGTTTTTGAAGGCAGCTCTGCTAAGAAATGTTCTTTTTCTTTTTAGCCACTAAATACAAAATATTATTTTTCTTAAAAATTGACTTAAAAAATGTCTCATTCCACGACTGTTTCCTCAGAGACTCGGAGGAGAATCAACCCGACGACCTAACTGGCTGTGCAAAGTGACTTAAACCTGCATTCTGTGTAACAGCCAGCAGGGGGCGACTTGTGGTTCAAGTCAGACTGTATAAAACCTGAGAAAATGACCTGAGTTCTCAGTTGATTTGTTTCTTCAGTAAACACTTTCCTAATGAATTGATGGTCTCAATCTCTAGCTTAAAGTTTCCTTTAATACAAAATTATGTTTATTTGGTAAATTGCGGACTCAAATAGACTAAAATAAGCGACACAGCAGGGTATGTTTTAGGGCAAGACTTGTCAAAAACTGTTCACCAGAAATCCAGCATGTGGTTTGTTTTCCATTTTTAGATCAAGTCTGCAGACCTGAGTTGGACCTAATATCTCATTTCTGCAGCATCGACTTCAAAAAGAGTAACTTTTGTCTTTAGAAGTTAAATGAAAAACTCCAGACAGCCTCACCCTGACGTCGGTGAGCTCCACCCCGGTCCTGTCGGCGTACAGCATCACCCTCGGGTGGGCCGAGAACTCGCACCACCTCCACGGGGACTTGGCGTTGAAGTAGAGGTTGGCGTCCTCCGTCCGGACCGCCTGCATCCTGACGGGTCACAGCAGCGCTTTAGACTCAAGTACTGAGTCGGACTGTACTGAAACGGACCAAAGCTTCCCCAAAACACGACTTCCTCACCCTTTGCCGACGGTCCACAGCTTCACGGCGCCGCTCTCGCTCGCCACCAGGACTTCGCCTAAAATATGAGGACTGAAAGTAAACAATGTTTTTAGAAAACTTGTCGCTTGTTGTTCCATCTTTATCACAAACTACGGAAATGTTTGATTTTGACTTTCAGCAGGTTTACTCTCACCTTTAAACTGAACGACAACATCTGAGGAACTATTAAAGATACAAACCAGGTTTTATCTTCAATAGTTCCTCAGATGTTGTCGTTCAAACATTTGGAGACGTATTTAACATATGAAGCTAAAAACCGACATATCGTCACAAACATTCAGATTTCGTGCCGACCTGACGTTGATGCACGTCGCCACCTCCGACGTCTCGACCACCTGCAGCAGACGCGGTTCGTTTCTTTCGCTGAACTTCCAAACGCCACAGAAGTAATCCGACCGAACGCCGACGCAACCTGCAGACGACAAATAAACAATAAATAAACGCCTTTAGAGGAGGAACTGCTAAAAGCGACGCTCCTCAACATCTTCCGTCTTCTTACATTCGGGGGAGAGCGAGCTGCAGCTGATCTGTCTGATGGAGCCTTTGAGCTGGAAGCTGAACGGGCTGCCGTCGGCGTCCACGGAGGACGAAGAGCCTCGGCGGTGCTGCAGCGCCACCTTGTGGAAATCTGAGGTACTGCGTTAGGGAAAAAACAGGGACGAAGGCAGGGAAAAAGAAACACTTGCAGCTCACTACATGATTTTACACAATAAAAATCTTGTTTTCAGGACAGACTTTTGTTCTCAAATGAAAAGATTATTCACTAAACGGACTCACTGAGGTTCCTCAAATGGTTTAAATCACCGTTCTAGTAGTTTTTTAAAAAGCAAAAACGGGTCATTCAAGTGATTTTCTTTTCCATTTATGGCAGCAAACTGAGGGTTAGTTGTGTTTAAATGTGTACGGAGTCCAGGTCAAATTGTTTACATCTTTTTTTCTGGTTATTTGACGGTTTCCTCGACACAACATCAGGTTTAATCGGTTTCTCAAAGCCGAGTTGTTGCTTCAGATTTGTTGTTTTAGGTGAAAGAACAGATGGTGGAGCTTCAGAAGTGGACAGATTAGCCACCAAACTACGTCTTTTAAAATGGTTTAAAACAATTCTGACCACAGATTCATCGTTTTGGTAGTTCTTCCCAGCAAACCTGCGTCACTTTTGATGTTTTTTTTTTTGGGTTAATCGATGGTTCTCTCCTCAAACTTTTAGGTTAAATCTTGAGGTTTTGCTTCAGATTCGTTATTTCTGGGTGAAAGTGTTAAAAGCTGAAAAGATCAGTCACTGAGTTACGGTTTGTAAAATGGTTTTAAAGCAAATTTGATCGTAGATTCATCGTTGTCGTAGTTTTTCCAGCCAAAATCAATTATTTTTGGTGTGTTTTTAATTGGTTAATCGATGGTTTTCTCAAAGTGTTGCTTCAGATTGTTTTTTTTCTCCAGGAGTCAGTTTAAAACCCAAAATTTTGTCATATTGTCGTGCAAATCTGGAACTAAAATCAGAAAATGTAAAGATCTAGAAACAATTAAGAGCACAAGAAGTTCTGACATAAGTTGGATTTAAGTGGAGCTAAAACGATGAATCGATTTCTAAATTATTTACCAACTATTTTGATAACTGATGGATCGCTTTGAGCACTGTCTAAAAATAAAAACCTTTTGATTGCAGCTTCTTGAATGTAAGTAATCGCTATTTTTTCTTATCAAACTGATTATATTTGAACAAAACAAGACATCTGAGGGCGTCACATTGGTCAGAAGTGTCAGAGGATTGATATTCTGAATAAATATCAGCTTTGTATTGGACAGTTTTCAGAGATTTCCACTTATTATCATTGAAAACTCGACATATCTAGATTCATCTCCATCAGACGCCGACAGTAAATCCTCAGAATGGAGGCGCTTCAATCAGAGAATCAACATTTTTGGCTGGAAAATGACAAAAAAAGAAAAATTCTACTTCCTATAGCAGATAATAAGATACTTCACCTCAAACTTTTGTTTTTCTAGAACTTCAGTTTTAACTCTCAGCCATAAACGACATCTTTTCACACCTTCGCCTCAAACCTTCAGCTCCTCCTCCTGCAGGATACGGAGGCGGTCCAGGCCCTGGTGTCCCGGGTAGACGAGGCAGCCCCGCCGGGCGTCGCTCTGGGGGGAGAAGGGGACGAAGGCCAGAGCGCCCCCCGTGGTTCCTTCGGGGAACAGCAGCCCGTCCCTACGATCCGTCAGCTCCTCGTGCAGCAGCGAGCCGAGCAGCTGAGGAGGGACGACGTGGACGACGTCCGGCATCAGGAGGCTGTAGCGCTTCATCTTCACCGACTCGTACGACTGCTGACATCTGACGACGAAAAACGAAACCGAATCAAACGACCCGACGGCTTCCTGTGTGTTTTCGATTTTGAACGTTTTAGCAACGGTCGCTCACATTTTAAAGTTCATCCTGTGCAGGAACCTCTTCACGTGGCCCATCTGGACCGAATCGCTGCGACGATGCTGCAAAAAAAAAAAAAAACAACAAATTTAGTCATAATCACAACAATAATCTAAATCTATAGAGAGAAATTTATACTTCATTTACATCCACAGATGCAGAGCAACTAAAAAAAGCTTCTACATTTTTCCCTATAAAATCAGAAACCAACCAAACGAGTCCGCTGTGCTGAAACTCACCGTCTTCTTGTTCCCGCTGAAGTCGAACTTCTCTCCCAGCAGGTCGCTCATGCAGCCGAAGGCGTCGTAGCAGTGATCCAGGAAGAAGTTCTCCATCTGAATGTGCACAAAGCCAACGGACGCCGACGTTAAAGCGCTTTAAATCGAGTGAAATCTACCAGACAGATCATCTGCAGCGTCCTGGTGAGGAAACCAGCGTTTTATCTGAAGCGCAGCTGCAAATAAATATAAGAAGTTCAACAGACAAACTGGAGGAAACGATAAAAACAAAAGGAAAATGTGCCTCTTAAATCTGAGTT